CAATTAAAAATGATTACGCAACGCGCGAGTTCAAACGAGTTCAAGCGCCTTTGCGTTCACTTTTTTGTCACTTGTATATGCGATATGTATGCACCGGTAAAAGCAACGAAGCGACGACGGAAAAGCCAACAATTATGCAAAAGAGAGAACGTTCGAGATGTACTCTGCTTTCGAGTTCGAATTTTAGAGAGATATTACTGCAGCCTCTCACAAGAGCTGGCTGAAGCAAACGACCAAAGAGGAGGCGAAGAAAACTAACGGACCACGCTTAGAACTCTATGCAGCATGTCTCGACAGTGCGTTGCGCAGGCTGAAGCAGACGGTGAAAGAGAATACGAAAACAAATAGCGGGCCGCTAGAACTGCTAAGGTCGGCCACAACGACTTTTGGTTCGCTACTTTTTTCACAAATGTCACGTGAAACCTTCAAAATTGGATTATTTGAATGGTTTAAAAACTTTTAACGCACTGTAAGTCCACGGCAATCACGTCGGGGTCACCAAAATGTTGGAAGCTGCCGAGCTTTTTCGGCAACTCTGACTCCACATTTACAAATAATTTAATCCATTGGTAAAGTTTACAAAGGTTTATAATTTCTCGACGGGTTACAAGGGGTTAAGGCTGTGGCCGTGAACTACGATTCGATGTGTTCGACAAATATTTTGGACTGATGCGAGAACAGGACGAAGCAATGCACTATAAGCAGTAATGACTTATGTGTGTGGGTACGGGAACGTACTGAGAGAGCGATTTTCAGTATAAGAGATGATGTGTGACTATTTGATATTAATTTCTTACGAACTATTAACGGCTGCTGCTGCGAACATTCAATTTTGGGGATACGATAACTGTAAACGCAGAAACCTAAAAAATTACTTTGTCTTTGTGCGCCGTCTCACTCAGAGAGGATCGATACACAACGGAATTAAAAGACAGTTGCTGTAAAATGGAAACAGATAAAATATTTATAAACTCAATCACATATTTTGGTGGAAAGGAGATAAGCGAAGTTGAAGAACTAAAATTGGAACATAACTAGCGGTCCGGGTCCCCATCGTTTTTTCTAAGTTTTTACCTTCTCTCACAATAAGTTCGACCAATTTTGAGAGATCGCGGAAAATACCCCATCCCCGCATTACCTAACAAATCAACTCGTGTCTTTTGCAAACAGCGATACAAAAAGACTGAGAGAGATATAGAGAATGAGTCACCGGCTCCAATACCATTAAAAGTAGAGCCTTGGTCCTTCCTAACTAACTAATGCCAAACGACGCGTCGGTGCTATTGTTGTGTATCAACGGATAAAAAACATTCAAGACTATTTGACAAAATTTTTAGTTGAATGCAGCTCTTGCCCCAGCAATACCATCGCTATTGCCGGGGCCAAAGGCAGCACTTTTGCGCCTACCCGTACGTTCCTACCTAACACAGCCGAAAACACAAGCCCGACGGGATAACGGATGCTTTTTTTTAAATGTCCAATTGAAGCTGACAATTAAAAAGGAATTTGAAGATCTGGAGTAGCGTTGCTGCTGGTGAACACTGACATTAAACGTTGCCTATTGTCCATTGCATGTTGCTGACGGACGGTAGGGGCAAAGGGTTACTGGAAAACACTTTTTATGTACCTTATCTATTTTGTTTGTATCTGGTACGAAAGCGAACTGTTCTGATAGACGTAGAAACTTTTTTTCATGGCTAAGCTTTTTGTTATACCCGTACTCGAAGAGTTAAGGGGTAGATTAGATTTGTGATAAGAGTGGATGTGGGTAACGCAGAGAAGGAAAGTTTCCGACCCCATAAAGTATACATATATGTACATATATTCTTAATCAGCATCAATAGCCGAGTCGATATAGCCATGTCTGTCTGTCCGACTCAAAACTAATTTTACCTGAAAAATACCGTTTCTGGTCCAATGCCAAAGGAACACGTTCAGGTAGCAAAAATTCAATCCCTTTTCATTTGCTTTGTTTCCAATTGGCAGTTGGGCCCGCAACCTTCCAAAAGGTATTTTTTGAGGTTTGGTTAACGAATTTTAGCTCCACCATTTATCCATAGATTTTAATAAACAATACTTTAAACGACGCCTTATTAATGCGTCTATCTAAAACTATAAATGCATGCCAAGAATTATTTTTCTCTCGACTTTTCCCGAGTTTTTTAAAGTCAAAATTTCGGGAAAGAATACCGCAAAAAAATGATGAAATTTGAATTTGAAAGCTTAATATCTTCCATGCCTTAAGCTGCAGAAACAAAGTGCAACCAGATATAAGATACTCAAGTTATGTGAAAAACTAATTTCAGGTAAAATTAGTTTGAGTCTTTTTGGTCCAACGGCTGCAAGTTGACCGTTTATCCATAGATTTTAATGATCAATACCTGATTAATGCGTCTATCTAAAACCAAAATTTTTGAACAAGAATTATTTTTTTTTCGATACAGATGCAGATACAAAGGATCTGGGTCAGATTTATATCTGCATTTGTCGGCTTTTCAAAACTGCAAGCTGCAACCAGATATAAGATACTTAAGTTATGTGAAAAATAGAAGCACTACCTCTGAAAAAAAACATTAAAAAAATACCAGATTTAAAAAAAAATTTAAAAAAAAATACACCATAAAAAAAACCATAATTCGTTAAAGGTTTTTAAACCCCAAAATCTATAAGAAATAGTTATTTTGGGCCACAGCCTAATTCTAGTGTTGACTTGTGTTATTATAGCCAGAATGAAAAATTAATTTTCTGTTGGTTCCCCCTCCTTTCCCAGCGCTGCAGGACTACTGATTCTCTTTCTCGCTCGCACACTCTGCCTCGTTCAGTGCGCGAGCGCCCCCTAGCGGAGATGTAAAATCTTAATGGTAGATGTAAAATCTATATTTTAGATGTAGAAATATACATTTTATGTGTAGATGTAGATGACAGATGTAGCAAAAAAATTTAAAATATAATATTTTTTAAATTCTACTTAAATCAAACTCACATCTGAGTACGGGTATAAAACTTAGGTTGCGTCCACAGAAACGACTCAAAACATTAATTCCAAATTAAAGTATTTTTAAATTGTTTAAAATTTGTTTAATTTAAAAAAAAATACTAAAATTTCAGATACTAAATTGTATTTTACATAAACGAAATATTGAATTAGCAATGTTTGTTAAAACTAGGTTTAACATACTTGAACTCTACGGAAAAAATTAATCTTACTAACGAAAGAAACAGAAATCACTTCCGGTGGAATTTCACCTCAATTTCATTCCGCGCTGCCACACACCGATTTTCGAAATCGAGCACTATTTATCCATCGATTTGATTGAATACACCCATAAACACACACTTAAAACGATTCGAATCTTACTTTCCCATAAATGTTGTTCAATTGGTGATTTACCCTCATCCAAATAATTTAACATTATACATGTTAAGTTAATAACATAAGCATTTTAGTAACTTTCACTTAACTATTCCGCGCTCAATCCGCTGGCAACCGAGGTGGCCACCTAGGGCGATTCGGACTTTCGAAGTTAGGACAGTAATGCCACCTTTTTTAAGCCGAATTCGAAGCATGCTATTTTATTTTAGTTATATTGAAATCATTCTGATTTTCTTTAATTAAGAATTAAAAAAAAAAAAAACCTGCAGTAAAACTTCCTTTACGTCAAACTTTTTGTGCAAATTGTGTAAACATGTGAAGTCATTTGTAGTTCTACCAGGTGGTATCGCTTCAAAATGCCAAAACAGAACTAACAACCCATTTCTACACATTATTGCCATTGCATTTATTTGACATAAACGCCTGTTCGGCTAAGTGCAGACCCATTGCAGCACAAAGAGAAGCATAGCGGTCATTATACCAAAAACTGTGCTGCCATGCACGAAGTGTTGCCAGTCAACTGCTAGAGTTGCCGATTACATTGTTTTGTTTGACGCGCACGATATGGGATGTTTTCTTTCTTTGAAATTATAAAAGCACAGCTTTGAAAAAATCAATTATTTTATATCATAAAAGAAAAAAATTAAAAGCTAATTGTGTTGATATGATAAAATAAAAAAAAAACGAGAAGGAAAGTGTGAGTCGCTTCTGGGGACGCGCATCTACTTATACAGTCGTTGAGTCAGTATATACATTTTTGAGCTTGTTTTTTAGAATTTTAGAATTACATCTACATCTTAAATGTATATTACACATCTAACATGTAGATTGTACATATAGCATTTAGATTCTACATCATCTCCGCTAGAGGGCACTCGCGCACTGAACGCGTGGCAACTGAAAATGAATCTCTTCATTCTGGTTATAATTATGATCCGATCTGATTCAGATTCGGCAATCTGCTGGACATGGGCATTCTCTACGATACTGCGTATTATCGTATCTTTAAAATTGTACCTGGCACAGATTTTCGTCCTTTGTGTCGCGAAAGAGGGGGTGGGGCGAAATTTTGAAATACACTTGTAGCAGTGTGATATCACATGAGTCTGGAAACCAAATTTGGTTGCCCTAGCTCTTATAGTCTCTGAGATCTAGGCGCTCATAAAGACGGACATGGCTATATCGGAAACGTTTCCTTCTCTGCGTCACACACATCCACTTTTACCACAAATTTAATATGTATACCCCTTAACTCTTTTTGAGTAAGGGTGTAAAAATGAAATCGCCCGGAATTTTGTGGCACCGCGGAAATTTTTAAGCGGAAATCCTCTGAGCGGATTCCCATTTCACTCGCGATTTTTGTGGCACCTTTGTTTTAGAAAAAGTGGGTTTGATGTCAGAGTTTTACTGGGTGTTGCATAGCTGCTTGCGACCTTTATTCGGTATAAAAAAAAAATAATAATAATTATGAATGCTAAATTGATGTACATACTTACTGTTAAAACAGAAAAAAATACAGCTGTTAGTTTTAAGACAAAAACCAATCAAACAAGCATTGCGAAAACGCTATTAAAATAATGAACACAATCAGAGGAAACATAATTTAACCTGTTCTTTATTCTTCCAGTGGCAAATCATTCGCGGGACGATGAGACGCATTCGGTGGCATTGTCGGACACGACAGCCACTCCCCGCTCCAGGCACACCTACGTTGACGACGCATATGGAAACGGTCTGCCGCCGGATCTGCTCGCTTTCCCAGCACGCGTGCCACCCACCTCCCCTTCCATGCAGTCATCTCAGTCCAACATACCGGACCAAGTCCTCTACGGAATACGGTCCCCGCCACTAACTAGCCCCGTATACGCACACATGACGCCCCACGGCATCTACGGAACCACCACAATTTCGGCGACCACTCATAACGGCTTCATGACACTGCAGCACCCCAGGTCACGAAACCTGGCGCTAATTGCCACTGCCAACAGCTCCCGACAGCAGCAGCAAATGGCTGCCGCTCTGCAACATCAGCAGGCCGCTGCGTCCCCGTTCCTTCCAGCCCCAGTGGTGTACTCGCCGACCACGGCTGTGGTAATGAAACAGGGCTACATGACCATTCCACGTAAGCCACGTGTGCCCAGTTGGGCTCCCAGCACGTCGGGAGTATCATCCCACCCTGGAACTCAGCTTAGCGAGTTTCAGTCGCCTACTTCGCCCAATCCGAGCGAGACAGGGACTGCGACCACCGCGGAGCTGCAGGTCGAGCCCGTCTATGACAACCTGGGGCTACGCACCACTGCAGGCGGCAACTCGACGCTGAATCTGCACAAGGCTCTTGGAGCCCAGGGAGCCCAGCAGCAGTACTCGATGCGCGATCGTCCCCTCCCCGCCACCCCCAGCCTCACGTCAGTGGCCTCAGCGGCAAATGCTAGCAAGATCTACGAGCCCATTCACGAGCTGATCCAGCAACAGCAGCATCAACTGCAACACCATTATCCCTCAGAAACAGAGTCTCTGTATGGGGTGAAACACCATGGGATTACTATACTTCCGGGGGCCAGCATTAGTGGGGCTGGCCTGGGTCACTCCGGCCCCCTTTCACCCTCGATGGCGAAATCAGTGTCCCCTACACACGCCAGCGTCGGCAGCTCCGGTTCACCGAAGATGGCTAAGATACCACCAAGACCACCACCGAAGCCCAAGAAGAAGATGTCCGTAACGACGACGCGCAGTGGGCAGGGCAGCACAAGTCAGCTGTTCGACGACGAGGGCGAGGATGGTACCGAGGTTTAGTTTGACATCACGAGGAACTCGACAATGAAATGGAATGGGAAATGCCCTGTACACCCGCAGAAATATAAACCGAATCCTCTACGTACAAGCTAGAAGCGACGAAGCAGTCGTCACTGTAGCATACGCATATGAAGACACCGGCATCAGAGTTAGTAGCAGCAGGTGGCTGAGTGTGCAAACACCTGCTTCTCAAACAGCTAACTGGAGCAGAAACAAAAAAAAAAAACAGGAGCACCTGCCTCTTCTCCTGTCTGCACAAACACCCGGTGACCTGCACATCTCCCATCTGCCCTTGGCTGCTCCGAAATGCACGCTATTCGCGTGACGTGTGTGCCAAACGACTGATGTAGAATTTAGTAATTACACCGATAAACATTCGACTCTGCACGACCATACAATAGCAAACAGAAAACCGCAGCTGAGAAACAAAAGCAGCCAATATAACCGAAAACCAGAACATCAAATATATATATACTTAGAAGAACCCAGATGGAAACCAAGTACGCAAGGATGTGTATTATGTGTCGTCCCGAGCGCTGGCAGAAAGAACCATTTTAGCATTATCTAATCCCAAATACAGATATATGTATGAACCCAAATAAGAAAAGTAAATTTTTTTTCCCATTAGGCTAGTTTGTTTGATGCAAACATATACATACAAAGATATAAAATAATAATAAAAACTACACAAAAACGGAAAATTTTATAAAAGGAACATCTTATCTATAAGCCATTTTATTTGATCGGAAGCATTAAAAACATTAAAGGATATCGAAACCCAATTAACTTTTTTTTTTATTTATAAATAAATTTTATAAAAAACATTTAAAGAATTGTATAATAGTAATGCATACAGTTAAAAACTAAGTAATAACTATTTATATATAAATAATACACAACTAAGGCGTACACATATGTACATATTTATGTTTGTATGTACATACGTATATGCAAACAAAATTTTTAAATTGAAACTTTCTTTGAAATGTTTGAAATAAGAAGAAGTACATAAAGAAGTACATTTGTATATGCATAGGGAAGTATGTTGAGCACATAATGTATTATTGTAAGGAGTTTGCACTCGCAACTAAAACAAAGGACGATGTAATTGAAATACATGCATATGTAAATACATGTACTTGTGAATGTATTTCTATGCAGAATATTTATATAATTTCCAATCCCCCCCCCCCCCCTCCCTTAATTGTTCCGAAACAAAATCGCTAAAACAGGATCACATACATACACACTTAATATAGACGATAAACTCTTAGGCAAACAACAAACTAGAAAAATAAAGGAATAACAATGGTATATCATTTAGTCAACTCTTAATAGGTCTTTAAATTGCAAATCAATACAAAACAAAGTAAAGATCAACTATTATAGCTACATATGTAAAGTACAAGTAGTTACAGATACAGTTGCGACCACATCCGACACGATTTTAATAACTGATAACTATTTTAAAACTTGACTGCAGTTCCTAAGTGCACCACCTTGGTTATTCTTATGATTCAGTCGTCACGAGTTTCCCTGCTATTCTGATAGCCATCATTTCATAGCTTCGGTTACACCTAACAGAACTTTGCATGAGCTTCCCATACTTACACGTAAATATAAACATATATACGCTTGTGTATGTGTACTAAGTATTTATGACATTTGTATTTACCGATTTTTCATACATTGACTTGATACCTGTCTATCAATTGCACTTCAACAGAGAACTATATAGATTGAATTAGTTAACGAAACAGCAGCTACGTATGTGTGTATTTTTATTTAATAAAAATATACTCCCATGCACTGAGTAATTTAAGTAACTGCCAAGTTAAACCAATTCAAGTAGTGCATTTCGAATCAAAAAACTAAACACCCGAAAAAGAATTAGCATTAAAATTGATTTGGGTGTTTCAAATCTGGAAATCACAGACCATAGAAAACTGATAGGATAAGTAAGAAATCATGCCCATACTTGCCCCTTCAACGACTGTTTGGTGAAAGACATAAAGATGGCGAAAGGAGCATCAGCAGAGGCGGAAAACCCAACACAAAATCGATTAAATAAGCAAAGTATTAAATATTTAATAATTATAATTAACCGTTTTCGTGCTGCTTTCCTGTTTGTAGAGATTTAAACACTACAATTGTTTTTATTTATGTGTAGGATTGTGTTAACATTTGGAGCGTGCGCCAAATATTCGAAAAAAAGAGATCTCTAAACGCGAAAACAGTTTGCAGGCATCAATTAAAAGCACGAAAACATGCATCAAACAGACAACAATTTTTTATCAGATTAGCAAAAGCCCAAACCATTATATTTTTTAACAATTTGAAACTAAATTCAATTTATAGAAGGGCTCTTATACATAAGATTCTTATAATTTTTGCTAAAATATAAAATATTAAAATTAAAGATGAAATAAAACGAACTTACCGAAACTAGTTTTTTTTAGATCGGCAACCTAACTAAGAAGGGCGGGCTGCTATACCCAGTACTAAAAAAAAAACAAAACCTGAAGACATCAAATTCCAAACCCATATATGTAGTATATGTATGTATAAAGATCTGAATACATACATGTGAGTTACACATGTCTGAGTTCTTAACTTTCGGGGTTTGAACTGATTTTCGTTTATTTGTATGTATATTCGATAATTCGATAATAATTTTTAATTAATGTATTATAATTGGCTTTTGTCTTATTTTATTACGGGTGATGTTAGTGCACCGAGCTTTCTTCGTTTTTGAGCCATGCGACATTTTTAAATGTGTGCACCCCTGGGTCTTGAATTCACAAATTCCCGTTCTGACATGTCCTTTTAACTAAAGGAATCCCAATTCTTCAGATATTCGGCGACAGTTGAAGATTTGCATGTGCCTCACCATCTTCAAACTTCTCAACATCCATACCCGACATGACACTAAATTTTACTAACGAATTTCGAAAAACCATCTACATCAATTCCATTTGGCCAAAAATAAGTTGACCATTCGGATCTTTGGCTTTCTCCATATGGAGATATTCGTGATACTTACGCATTAGAGACTGGCTTCCTCCACTATCAATGAGACCTTTGCGCCCCAATGCACATCCTTTAGCTCCAAGTCAGCAGCAATGAATTTGCTTGAAGGCTTTATCTCTGGCTACTTCTCGTCTTGAAGAGTGTTCGTCAGACTTTCTGCCTTCAATCGATAATCAGCTTTGCATTACGCTGAATAGTGTACTGGCTTGCCACACTTGAAACTATTAAAATCGTTTTTAGGCCAATCTCTCTTCAAATGGTCACCACATTTGAAGCACTTTCGCACATGTCCTGTTGATGGGATGTCCTGTGATGACAAAAATGGACTACGAGCTTACTGTCTTCGCCTGATACAATAGCATTTTTTTTGTCTTGGAATCAGGAATCAACAAAATATTTGATGAGACTCTCATCCATATATTGGCTTTGAGAGTTTCATGAGCGCGTATAAAAACTCTTGTAACGTCTCACCTTTTCTTTGCTGTCGCTTTCCTAACTGCTTTTGAAATTCAGATCTGTCAATGATCGTTTTAATGTTTTAATCTTTGCTGCAATTCAGCTTTACGACCCACTGTTCCTAGCCCTAGCTCTGCCAGCTTTGCCGTCAGCTCTTCAACTCTTCCCGGTAAAGCTAGAAGCTGAGACTTCGCATATGGGCTGTTCATATTATAATCATACTAATAATTATTAGTGAGTTTCGTACTAATTTTCTGACCAATGCATTGGAAGCAGACGTGTTCTCTAAAAAAAAAAGAAACAATTTCGATGAAGACGAATACAAAGGTCGCTCGAAAACCAACGCGGTCGGATGGCACTCGAGTGACCTAAGAATGGCACCTGCTGAAGCAATCGTCAAGAACTATGGAGTCAATAGAGGAACCGAGGCAGGACGATGGGGACTGGACCCACTGCCTTAACAAACACGACGAACTCAACTACGGCGTGTGCAGCTCTGACAACGACAGTTTCCTCAATTCCCTGCAGGTGCAATAAACCCACTTCTGTCTTTCCGAAGACAGGGCCTACCGTGTGTAGTGGCTAAAAATCTAGCACATTCCACCCCAAAGGAAACTATAAACAAGACCTTTGAGGAATTGGGTCATCGGGTGGTTAACCTATATAACCCGAAGTCCAAATCGTTTGGTTCATTGACCTTGCCCAGGCCCCAAACAACAAGGAGGCCCTTTAAATTGCCAGGGTGGGTAGGCACCGTGTGCAAATTGAGCTGCCCAGGAAGAACAACGGCGTGAGGCAATGCTTTCTCTGTTATGAGTTCGATCACTCGAAAAACTACTGCCTGAGGCGACCGGTATGTGGTCGGTGCTCATGGGGATGTCTGGACAGGTGCCCCCAATTGCAATTCCAACACAGTTGACGACCTCTGCTGCTCGAACTGTGGGGGGAAGCATGCAGTATACGGACATATCATGTAAAATCTACGTAATGATGCTAAGAAATCGCCAATCGATCGTGTTTATTGCACCGCAGGGGCAGAGAAAAACACAAAAAAAGGCTGGAGGGATGATGAATGTCTCCTCGATGACTGTCCAGCGAGGGATCTCCTTCGCGGATGCATACAGGTTTAACCAGTCCAGCAAGCATGGCACCAAGGAGGCCAACAGAACGCATCATACTTCCAACAGGACTACAACAGCTCCTTTCCGGTACTCCAAGGCAACCGCAGGCAGCCCAAGACCAGTGCGGCACTGCACGACGCCCTCACAAACTGTGCGGCCCAAGTACTGGATACTCAAGACTGATACATACACAGCCCAGTTCAAAGTAATTCTTGAAGTCTTCCTGGACCTAAACACTGAGCTGAGGACCACCGAGGAAGTGGAAGGGGCCATTGACTTATTTGTGGCCACGGTCTACGAGCCTCTGCAGCTGCTGCCCAACAAGGTCACCAAGTCACTCAATCATCGCGTAGTGGAAGTCACAGAAGCGTGACGTTGAGTGAAGTAGAAGGACTACTGCTTGTAAAAAAAAGGCTTAGGAAAGAATTTCTTCGCACCAATGACCGCCGGGTGGATAGACTCTTCAGGAGAGTAGCCAACGGGCTGAGGAGACGTGCACTGCAGACGTGCACTCGAACTACACCCTATGGAAGCTCACGAGCCGGTACAAACGGCAATCCACCCCTAACTTCCCAGTAAGGAAGGCAGATAGCTCATGGGCGAGGTCAGCAGCGGACCGGATGGAAGCCTTTGCAGATGAGCTGGAGCGCAGATTAAGACCATTCAGGACGGCCTCAGCGAGGAGAGCAAGCCTACTTGTTGCTAAGCTGGATGAAATACACCAAATGGAGCTCCCGGTGGCTCCAATCACGCTCCAGGAACTAAAGACGGATATCCGCTTGCCCAAAGCTAAAAAGGCCTCAGGAAAGAACCATATAGATAACAGAGTGGCAAAAGTGCTGCCACTTAGAGCGCTTGTGTACCTGTTACAAATACTGAGCTTGGGACACTTCCCCAAAGCATGGAAAGCCGCGCAGGATGTCATGCTACATAAACCTGGCAAATTCCCGGACGACCTGGCCAATTACAGGCCAATCAGCCTGCTCCCCTCTTTTGGGAAGATCCTGGAGCGCTGCATTCATCGCAGATTTTTGGACAGCCCATCCGTAAATCGAGCCTAATTACCAATTTGGGCTCAGGCTGAGACATGGTACTCCGGAGCAGCTGCATAGGGTGTTGGAACATATCCTGGATGGCTTCTACAAGGAGCAGTACGTCGTAGCAGCGTAATTGGACATCCAGCAAGCATTCGACAGAGTTTGGAACGACGGATTACTTGCGAAGATAAAACACCTGAGAAACCCCCAGCTGTTCCTGATTATTGGAAGGTTCCTAAAGGACAGAACGTTCCAAGTCGCACAGAGCGGATCAGATTCCACGGTGAAGGTGATTGAAGCCGGAGCCCCGCAAGGCAGTGTGCTAGGGCCAACGCTGTACAGGTTTTTCACGCACGATATGCCAAAAGATAGTGTTGACAATACGTCCCAGCCAATCGATGTGACACATTTGCCGACGACACGGCAGTCCTGTCAAGGGCCAACTGCGTTTTCGATGCCACGGACAACCTCCAGCGGTATCTTAAAAGGTTTGAGAACTGAGGGCATGTAGGTGGAATTATCATTGTGAACCCTGACACA